GAAAGTGGGCGGGTGGGTCTTGAGGAAATCCTGGTAAGAGCAGGGTCCCTCAGGACCGCGAGCACCACCCCCATTCCCACCATTGCTTCCGTGGCCTCCACGGGCGAAGCCACCGATAGCCAGTGCCAGCAACTCCATGGCATGGGCTGACTCGCGGTGAGTAGCCAACATTTTCACCATCATCTCCGCATGAGTCATCGGCGGAGGAGGAGGAGCCAGAAGTGGAGCCTCATGGCTCTCCCCGTTGCCATGCTCATTCGCCCGGCCACTTTCACCTTGGCCTTCGCCAAGATCGTGGCCTGCCCCGGCACTAGTGCTCCCACGTTCGGACCTCAGATTCATCTGTAAGAGATAGGAACCAACCACTTAGGACAACCTTTCAGATCAGAAGCAAGGGATTAGAGAAATGGCAAGACATTTATTAAAGCATTCTTTTGGTTATCCTATCAATTTACTAATCTAAATTTTACATGGAGGGGGACTTTAGTTTAAGCAAGATTCTCTTATCATGATGCATACATCAGCCTATACGTTCACTCAGGCCAGAATATAGCGGTATTTGCAAAAATTCGGCACATTGCACACTCACTTTCCGTATGCTAAGCGATTTCTTACGCAATGTAAGTCAGTGTACCTGTAGAAAATTGATTAGATAAAACTAGTGCCACTATCCTAGATAGACCATATTGCTAGGGCTTATACTTATTTACATAATTTTAGCGCATCCTACTTTTCGCAAACTTTTGTTGGTCAAATTTTTAAGTTTTGGAGAAGAGTGATGAACTCATAAACTCATTATTGGCTTTGGTACCAACTGTGGCAGAACCGCCCAAAATACCGCACTTACGGAGGTGCTCGTCTTCCACCAGACACTAAGCACCCTGTAAGCAAGCTACATCAGGCGGTTTCCGTCGGGCACACCCCAAGGGAGAGCCTGAAAGATCCACATTTTTCCCCAAGGATCCAATAATGAGAATGAGTTACAATACTTAATCCATTTCATACATCCAGAGTTCGTAAAAAGTACATTATTACATTTCCAAAGTCAGAATGCGGAATATTAAACAGCGGAATTAAAAATAAACATCTAGCGATAATGAACAAGGATCCATCTGTGCCCACCAGAAGAATCCTTCACACAACAATACTCCTCAAGCATTACCTGCAACAGGGATAAATAAACCCTGAGTACACAATGTACTCACAAGACTTATCCGACTAGTGGGAATAATTTCCCGACTCCAAGGAATATGATAAGCTTTATGGTTTGTTGGTTTCCTTTTTGCAGAAAGCAATACTAATAGTGGATCCTTATTTATGTTATTATTAGCAGCCATGATTTATTTATTCTCTAGCCATTCTATGTAAGCACTTGTTCTACTTTCAAGGAAGAGTTGAGCAATCAGTTCCATTTCATCACCTTACATCTTTCAGTTCTTACTACGGTGCTAGACCCAAAACAAGCCGTACCAGAATGCTCGGCGATTCGTGAATCAATGCTCCCAGCTGGGTACCCCAAAAACACACGTCCCGCTTGTACCCTAGGCACAAGTAGGACCAACCCATCACCCTCCTTTCACGGGGTCCAGGTCCCTGTCCAAACTTGGACCCCAAGCCCCCGCTCCTGAGTCCTAGACTCAGTGCGGTGCAAGGACCTCCACCATCCCCACCTTCAATCAGTCGGTCCGAAAAGAGCTAGAACCCATGACAAGAGAGCAACAAGTCTTCCCTGCGCCCATACCCAAGTATGTGCTCGGGATAATAAATCTGTGACTTGCCTCAAGACTTATGCAACGGTCGGTCCTTAACCGACATAGACTGGGAAAAAGTGTAACCAAGCTATGCCCTATTGGCTGCAGGACATAATCTCTTACACCCACCAATACCCAAACCATATCCCTGCCCGGTCACCATTTTTTCCTTTCCACCATTTTATCATGAGTGATCATAATTATCACCTATTGTGAGTAACGACAGGTTACTCACGCTACCGATACCCTGAGCATAGCAGCTACTCGACCTATACTAGTAGGACTCATAGGTAAGTATATTTAAGCATGCAGTTTTCATAAAATGCCTGTAACGTAAATGCACATAATATATATATATATTCAATAATCATTCAAAAATAGGGGTTATGCACTGGGGCTTGCCTTGGGCAGGCGGTGGGTCAACAACGTCAGCACCGAACAGCTCCGGGGCTCCCTCCTGCACGAGGATCTCCTCCTCATACTCCTCAATGACCTCCTCGTAGTCCAGTTCATCCACAGGCACGAACTCTACCAACTCGTGATCTACATGCATGAAATGATGATGCAACACTTAGTAATACGGCAACAACAACTCTTAAAATCAAAATACTTCCATCAAGCTACTAAGCTAGTCCTACCGACTAGGGTGCCAAGTTACCTATTGTTACCACTAACAAGTATGACACATGAAATGTATTATCTTAGCAACTAAAGGTATTCTTACTCTTAATACCGATTTACTCTATATATGATAAAACAAGGGGTACTAGCTACTCTATTTATCAACCTACTCTAGGCTTGAACGCGAAGCACTGAGCGAAGGAAGCGCGAGCTGGGACGCCGTAGTAAGACCGGACCACGGTGGTGGATCTCCTGCACTAAAAACGGCAATGTTCTGGTGAGCTACAACAACGCCGAGGCAAATAGGACAACGAGTGAGCTCCAGGCACTCACCACGGACCCAGAAGAGGTGGCGGTGCGATCGGAGGTGGCCCGAGCCAAGCTGGCCGCGTGCGCATGGACGGTGCTGTGGCGCACGACGATGGCAAGGCTACGTCGGGGGTGGCTAGGCTATGGTAGCGATCAGGCAAAGGTGCGCAGGGTGATGAGCAGGTGGAGGCGAAGTTGGTGGTGCAATGAATTGACAGGAGCAGCACTAGATTAGGAGCTTGCCTTCGACGTGTGCCACGGCGGTCTTAACGACCCAGCGAGAGGAAAATTCCAAATTGGAGCTTGGCACGGCGAGGCTCGCTGTAAGGTGGGGTCGAGCGGTTGGTTGACTACATGATGGAGTTGTGGACGGGGTTAATTGGACTGAGGTGGCTCCACTAGGCCGAATTTAGAGGAGCGGGTCCGGCGACCACGGCGCCAGAGGAACAGGGGAGACAGGCATGGCATTGCTTGTCGCTGCCATGGCAGGACATGGCTGTCAATTTGGTGGACAATCACGTACGGCTACAGGACGATGAGGAAACGGCCAATGCGCAGGACGGTGGGCCACACGACCATAAACTACAAATCGACGGCGGCGGCTCGGCCCTATGCGCCGCAGTGAATGGCGCCGGCCCAGGGAGGCAGCAACGTAGCGTCATCGAGCGCTGATGTGACGGCAAGGCAGGTAGGCAAGGCAACTTACGAGTAGGGCCAAGTGTGGCCACGTGCTCATGGCACCGCACAGGCAAGCCCGAGGCGGCAGAGCGGCAGGCGGACACGACGGCGGTGGCAGAGCGCACACAGGCGACTTCGCACAAGCGGCCACGACCAGTAGCAGCATGGTGTCATGACGCACAGAGTCAGCAACACAGCGAAGTGGCTGCAGTGGACGAGCCAAAGCAGCGGGCCCACAACGATGGTGGTGGTGGCCGAGCGGCCAGGTCGCCGGGCGCGGCGTGCGCGTGCGTGCGTGGGTGATTGCGGGCCAGTGCGTGGCAGTGGTGGTGCGGGGTGCGCGTCAGGGCACGGCAGTGGTGGGGCGGGTGCATGCCTGGGCGAGCCAGAGCCGTGGCACTGAGCCAAACCGAGACAGTGACCGCGTCCAGACGCTGACACCGGCCGGAACGTGCCATGCACGATTTTTAAAGCTGCTAAAAAATCCAACTCAATGATCCAATTGCTAAACCAACTATTTAACGCTCGATATGGTATGTCAAGCTACTAAAACAAAGCCTAAGACCAAACCACTACCGAACCCGATTCTCCTATAAAAATTCCCAAACTTAGCCTCGTCACACCGTTTTCTAACTTAAGAAATTCGACTACGTCTTGATTGGTTTTGCGTCACCTTTGATTTCCAAGCTACCAACCAAGCTAGCTAGTGACTCTCATTCTCGACCGCAAGTATTTCACCGTCACCTACGAAGTTTGTACTACAAACTTTATTAAAGTTTCATCTACGCATTCTATAGCATTCTCGTTCAATAAAAATTTGTTTAGAACACTAAGTGATACAACACGACACGAGATGTAACATTCGTTTCGCGTTTCCGATGAACGTTTCAAGTTACGTGTATTGCTTTACACCCTATATTACAGACATTTACACATAAGTATGATGCTCATGCAGTGTTTTAGCAAAAGATTGTACAGTGTAACACCGAGGGTGTTACAGAGAAGTAGAAGTATCTAAATCCAAGCAAAGGACGGATTTGAGAAAACAAAGTCTGAGGATAAATTGGAAGCTCTAAAGGTATTCAGAAGAAAAAAATAGATTGTGCTTCAAGTGTGGAGAGAAGTGGGGATATAACCACAAATGGCCAACTCAAATTCCATTGCACGTGTTGGAAGAATTATTGGATGCTATAGAATTAGTTGATCAACCTAATGTTGATTCCTATGAGATAGAATAGGAACTTTCTTACTGATCCATCTGAACAACTAAGAGAAGAACTATGAAGCTTGTGGGGCAAGTGGGCAAACAAGTCTTAACCTAGTTGACTTGGCAGCATAACACATTTGTTAGCAATAATTTGTGGAGTCCATTGCACAGATTCAACCTTCAAGATTAACCTTCGCTGTTGCTAATGGTCTTATGACTTGCACTACTTTGTTCTCATCCATAAAATGGAAAGCTCAGAGACATACATTCGTCAGTTGCCGGGGTCCTTAGGATGCAGCGACCGCTGGTTCACCCATCCAAGAACGATAAAGTATATACTAGAACTCACTAACTAGCCTAACTGCACAGAAACGGTCACAGACATCGATCTATCCAGCTGATTTAGCTTAGATCCGATCTGAGAGAGGTCGGCCATGCAGTGCCTGGTGCGGGCGGTTGTGCAGAGCACTTGCGCAGTGGTGGAGGGTTACGACGGCCAGAGGTTTGCTTCCACTGGCCGTGGTGCCAGCGCTGCCAAGGGCTACTACATCAAACAGAGGCACGTCGCCCTACACAAGCGCATGAGATTGGCACACAAACACCACCAACTGCAGAGGATATTGGCCAAGCTGGGGGCGATGGAGGGGAACTTGGATAAGGTGGAAGTGCCACTAGGAGTGGGAGCCGAGATAGGGAGATGGTTCTGTGCTGCCATAGGTGGCATCCTAATAGCTTAGGTCTTGTTTGTAATCTTTGATCGAGCTATCGGTAGTACTCTGTCTGCCCAAGAAACAAAAAAAGTCTCGCCAAACAATTTTGAGTTTGACTAAGTATTAGTATTTGTATTTAAATAGATTTGTTAGGAAAATATTTTATGATTAATTTAGAGATATTTATTATACATATGAAATATTATAATTTTGAGATTGTTTCATTCCTCAGAAGCGAGGAAGTACTGTGAAATCAGATTGTGCATGCAATTCTTGATTGAAAACGCTAGGATTAGGGCGTCCGGACAGTTATCTTTCCGTCGGACACCTCATCCACCATTAACTCCCCCTCCCGAGTTAATAAAAAATCCCCAATCCCTGCTCATCAGACGCTTGCATATTCTCCTTTCCATGCTTGATCCCTGCACCCCTACATCCACCCACATGTCTTCCTCGCCACCGTGCTTTGCTCCTAGCTGATCCCCACCAACTTCCGTTCCCTCCCATGTAAGGCATCGTACGGACACACGAGTCTGCGCCCCGCGACTGCCCACTCCGTCTCGTCTATCGTGACTCCCCACCCTCCCTCTGCGCCATCGAGGTATGCGCCATCGGTGACCTCCACGCGCCGCGCACCTACCCTATACGCCACCACCGCCCGTGCCACCCCCACCCCGCTCTTTGTGCGCCGCTGCATAGCTCCACGTTGTCGGCGAGCTCCGCGACGCTAGTGAGCACACTAGTGACCTCCACGCGCCGACGAGCCTCCATTCATTAAAGCAACAAATTAAAGAGATGTTTTGCGCTGAAAGAGGATGTTGCAACCGTATGTTTCAAGTGTTTCAGGTGTTTCAGAGGTATGTTGCAAGTGTTTTATATTGATGTTGCAAAAGTAGATCGGGACGTTGCACATGTTGCAATGGCTATTGTCGGGGACCAATACTAGGGTACCCGAAGAAGAAGAGCTAATGCTCATCAACATTGATTCATCCGAGCAGTCAAGAGCGCGACTATAGCTCCAACCGACCCCCAGGTGCGCGGGCTCTACCTCGCCCGACCCTGAGGCCGCGGGCTTCGCCTCGCCTGACCCCTCGGGTGCGGGCTCCATCTCGCCCGATGGGGACCCATACCGTCGCCAACCACTCCAGATCCAAGCGTATAGGCCTGGGTCAAAACTCTGACACCAAGGAACAGACCGACACGCCCCGGTGTAACCCGTGGCCATGACAGGCCATACATCAGGATTCACATCAAGAACAGCGTCGGGTGTGCCGGTGCTGTTCTGCCTAACCCTCACGCTGACAGGCGCGTCAGTTCACCACGATGCCCTCCGGGATGGAATGGGACGCCATGATCAACAGATAACGCCTGCGCATGGCGCCAGTGACGAACAGGGCCACGACGTGGAGCCGTCCCTGTTGACATCTATTAGCCTGTTCACTTGCTCGTATACGATCGTGGATTATAAGCTGGAACAATATTTTTCTCTCACACCAAACCAGCCAGTAGTAAATAATCCACGATCGTTTACGGCCTGTCGAACAGGCTGTATAGGATCGGTGGGACCCGCATGAAGAAGAAGAAGGACACGACGATCTAGGAAGCCTTCCTCTCTCTCGTTCTTCTCCTTTTCCTCCGTTGTAACCCGCGCTTTCCCTTGGCTTATAAAAGGGAAAGCAGGGCGCCCCATGAAGAGGATCAACCCATCAAAATCCGATCCAGATCCGCACAAGAGCACAACACGAACGCATGGCTGAGCAGCGATCTAGATCTCAGCACCCACTCACTCCTTCCACCAGAGACTTGGGATTTATTCCCTCTCTCGCCCGTTTGTAACCCCTACTATAAACTTTCAGTGCTAGTAACACGAGCAGCAGCGACGAACTGAACGTAGGGACTTTCTGCCCGAACCAGTATAAACCTCATGTCCTCTAAGCAAACCATCCGAGCCAGATGCGCAATACTAGAAATTTACTCGTCGATGGTAACTCGAAACATCGACAACTATATATGTATGTTTCAAGTGTATGTCTGAAGTGTTTCATGTGTTTCACATGTATGTTTCAAGTGTTTCATCTGGATGTTGCAAAAGTAGATCTGGATGTTGCATATACATGCATGTTTCAAGAGTATGTTTCACGTGTTTCAGGTGTTTTCATACATATGTTGCAAGTGTTTCATCTAGATGTTGCATATGTTTTGCAATGGCTACACGCGTGTTTTCAAGTGTTTCATATGTACTTTACAAGTGTTTCAGCTGTTTCGGATGTATGTTGCAAGTGTTTCATCTGGATGTTGCAAAAGTATATCTGGTGTTGCATACGTTGCAATAGGACCCACCTGCTGCAGCCGCCTGCAGTTGCTGAGGCACCGCTGTGGGTGATCGTGTGATGGCCTAGGATGCATCTGCAGCACACATCCAGGGGCGGGACAGGTGACTGGACCCAGAAGTGTGACATGCAGACCATGCTAGGCCCTCACGCTAGTGGTTGGGTTGTGACTTGTGCCCGCGGTCGGGACTCGTGCGGTTGTGCACGAACAGGGAGGGGGAGGCCGGTGCAGTGATGTCACCCACGATCACGATTGGACCATGCGCGGGCCGTGTGAGCTGAGTGTCTGATATTTGGAGCTGCGCCGGACGTCTGGGCGCCAGTAACTCCCATTCGTGATGACAAATAGCAGCGCTAATATAAGAAGTTTATTGTGAACTAGGTATTTCTTTTCTTTGGTAACGATGGTGCCGTCCTTTCTGTACATGGATCGTTGCGGCGCATTTCACGATCGATGTTGGGTTCTCGGCCTGGGCTAGACCGATGCGTGCTTTTTTGAAGAGCAGGGTGTGCCCTGTGGCTCCCTCCACACATGATGGTGGCTGTGGCCTGTGCCCTGTGGCTCCCTCCACACATGTGATGCTGCTTTCTTTCGGTACCGATACCGAACTACCCATGCCTTTGCTCAGATTCGAAAGCAACAAAGATGGTCGATGCCGGCGCAGATAGAGCGCTCACATGGATCGTGTACCGGCGACGGCGTATCAATAGGTGAGTCCATGTATACGTGCCGTTGCACGATCTCGAAAAAAAAAATAGGTGAGTCCATGGACGCCAAAAGCCTACTAGCACTCTTTACTTGGCTACTGTTTTTTTCTTTTTTTTGTACTGTCTTCTTGCAAGCTCACGTTCCCGCGAAAACAAAACTCGGCTCCCATGTTGTCAAAAAAAACTCGGCTCTCATTTCCAAAAAAAAAAACTCGGCTCCCAAATCCACAAGCTCTACTGCCCGTCTGCCTCAACCGCTGTACTTACCTGCTCACTGAGACGACGGCCCCATCGCACACCAGGACCCCACATGACAGTTATCTGTGCCCCAACGACCAGTCAAACCCAAGCGTCCACGGCCACGCAACGACGCTCGCGCACACGAAAGTCTCGAGCCATCTCATCCGTCCACTCAGCAAACCAACGGCGCGGATCCCTCCTCTCCCGGCGCCGGCCAGATCCGCCCGCCCCCACTCCGAAAAAAAAATATCCCGTCGTCTCCACTCCACTCCACTCGCTCCCCTCTCCCCTGCTCCAGTGCTCTCCTCCCTCTCTCCCGGATCCGAATTGCCAGCGCACCAATCGAGCTCGCGGGACCTCGCCGGCGCGCCGGCGATGGCCTCCGCCCTGCTGGCCGGACGGGGCGGGGCGCACCACCACAGCTGGGGGGAGACGCGCGCCCCGCTCGCGCCCATCCCGCCCAACCCTAGCCCCACCCAGCCCCACCCGCGCGGCGACGGGTCCAAGTCCAAGCCCAAGCCGCGGGCGGCGGCGGCCTCCTCGCCGGCGGCCGGCTATGTGACGTTCCGCCCGTCCTCCCTGGGCCTGCGCGAGGCCCGCGAGCTCCGGGACCGCCTCGCGGGGGAGCTGGGCCAGGTCCGCGCCCTCCTCTCCCGCATCGACACCTGGCAGCAGCAGGGCCCGCCGCCGCCGCCGCCGCCCGCGAAGCAGCAGCTCCGCGGCGAGATGCGGAAGCGGTGCGGCCAGATCCTCACCAGGCTGCGCAAGGACAAGCGGAGCGTGTGGTTCAACGCGCCCGTCGAGGTGGAGCGACTCGGCCTCCACGACTACCACGCCGTCATCAAGCGCCCCATGGATCTCGGCACCGTCAAGGAGAACCTCGCCGCCGGGAGGTACGCCTCCCACGACGACTTCGCGGCCGACGTCCGCCTCACCTTCACCAACGCGCTGCGGTACAACCCCGTCGGCCATGAGGTCCACACGTTCGCTGGCGCCCTCCTCGCCTACTTCGAGAGGATGTGCAAGGAGGTGCTCGCCTCTTTCGAGGAAGAGTGCAGACGCCTTGAACCGCCAAGGCCTGTGGCGGCAGAGTTGCCACCTCCACCGACAGCTGAGCCTGTTGAGGCGAAGGTTAAGCCGAGAGCAGGGAATGTGAGGATGCGGAAGCCCAAGGCGAGGGAGCCGAACAAGAGGGAGATGAGCCTGGAGGAGAAGAACATGCTCAGGATTGGGCTGGAGAGTTTGCCTGAGGAGAAGATGCATAATGTGCTTCAGATTGTGCGGAAGAGGAACAACAACCCGGAGATGCTTGGGGATGAGATCGAGCTTGATATTGATGAGATGGATGTTGAGACACAGTGGGAGCTTGATCGTTTTGTAACTAACTTCAACAAGGCGCTCAAGAAGTCTCAGCGTGCTGCCATGATGAATGGTGGCGTTGCTGATGTAACCAGTGCTGCTGTGGCTGAGGATGACACAGCACCTGTGGGCCATGTGCCTGCATTGGTCGACAATGATGATGCGGTAATGACAATAGGAGCAACACATTCCTTTTTGGTTGCAGCCAGTGGATGTGTAAATTGGGCTCTCATGGTAGTTTGTTTGTTTACTATTTTTACAGGAGAGTGAGAAACCTGTGAAGAGCACTGCAATGGCTGAGCAGGTGGATGAGTATGTTGATATTGGGGATGAGATGCCAACAGCCACTTACCAATCCATGGAGATCGAGAAGGACGCTGAAGGTGTGACTGGCTCTGGTGGTTCTGGCAGTGGCTCTTCATCGTCCAGTGGTATGATCAAGCCGGCATTGTGTATTCCTTCAAGAATTCCAAAAATCCTTCAGGGAGCTGACTTTTTACATTTACTGTTGCCTTCTTTTTCAGGTTCTGAGTCGAGGAGCTCAGGGGACAGTGCCTCAGGAGCTGGCAATGCTCATTCTTTGGCTTAGGGGAGGTTGTTAACAATAGGATTTGGAAATTTGGATGATCTGAGTCTGTGTTCTTGGGTGATTTGTGTAGAGCTAGAGGTAACTGTAAGTATGTAGCTTTTCCTGAGACGTGGGTGCCTGTGTAGGCTTCGATTACACAGTTAGTAGTAGTAGATAACAAACTGGCTTTGTGGTTGTCTGATAGCACCATGTGTATGTAAGCTGGAGGTGGAAGGTACTGGGGTGTTAAAAGTAGTTGATCGACCTTCTGGTATGAAGGGAGGGCTAGTGTCTGTTCTTTTGTGGTACAGTTGTTCTGGTGCAGATCTCTTATGTAATTGATGCTTTGTGCATGCCATTAAAGTATGGTTTTGTAACTAACAATGCAGTATCTTTTGTTCGGTGAAGACTTTTAATATAAGAGTTATTTCAGCATTTCGGATAGGCCTACGCAAGGCAAATTGTTTAAGTTTGTTCTGGCGGTGTTGCTTGATATATATGAAAATTATCATCCTCTGATAGGCCTGTGCTTTATTGTGTAACACCACAAGACCATGGGTTGATGTGTGTTTATTTGGTAATTTGGAATTTTATGGGTTCTTGTTTGAGTTTTAGGTTACTGGGCTTTTTGAGATGCTTATCATTGGAAATGCCATTGAAGGTGCAGGTGTGCTGTTGGAATTTCTGGTAAATTATTGTGCAACATGTGATTTTCATTGTTTCACTGATAGATAGGGCGCCAACGTTGAAGAAAGGAAGGATGAAGTGCCATGTTTTGTTGCTGCGAATAGGAATGAAGAGATGTTGGTGGCCTTTTTAACGATTCCTTGTGTTGAATCAGGTAGCTTGTCCACTTCCTTACATTGTTGACATTTTTTTTTGAGACTAGACAATTTTGTTTCCCCGGAACTAGTTCATCAAACGTTGGGGCCCTCAAGTCTGAAGTAACTTGATCCTGAGTGTGCTAACTACCAGTTACATTCTGAACACATATACAGCGCACGTCCAAAAATAAATGGAACTCAGGAGCTATACGATCAGGAACAATGCAATACGAGCTACAGATTTGTGTTCAACAAGCCAATAAAGCAAAAGTAAATTTAACAGAGAGCTTATATCACGGTTCTGGCAGCCTTCGCTTCGCTAAGAAGACGAGATGAAAAATACTGTTCTCTAAGAGAAAAATACTATTCATTCATCGAAAAAGTACGGCTCACAAGAGAAACGAACAAGGCCGAGTAAAAAAGCAACACGTTTTAATCCGTGTCACAGACAACTGATTAAGGCATGTTTAATCCGAGACCCAAACTGAACTAAGGATCGGTTAACCAGGCAAGTACTCCTATATCACAGGATTTGCCACCGATATGTCGCAAAAAAAAAAAAGGATTTGCCACCGATAAATATTCACTTTGAACTGCCGCACTGACCCACGTGACAGTAAACGATAAACAAATCCTAAAGCGATGTGAATGCGTGGACCATCTCGATTTTGTGACAATGGTAGTATACCCAGTTTGCTTGCAAGGCCGGGCCTTTTTCCTCTCATAAAGCACACGCGTATCTGATTTTTAGCCAAAATAATTTAATGAGAAACGTCATCTAAATTGTTACTGATTTTTTTTTGCGAATAAATTGCTACTGATTTAACCCAACGGGAGGCGACAAAATGTTCAGTGGATGTACTTCAGTTCCATACTCTTTCAGTACTACATATCAATAGTCAACACAACATCCTGACCGGGCCGAGCCAGAAATTATCTAGCATCAAGGGCTAAGGTTTAATAAATAATTAAAGATGTGAAAAAGCTATTATGAGTTGTGTGTTGTGAAAAAATGTAACCTTTTTAGTTAAAACAATTATGATTTATTTCAGAATTTAACGGCGCTATGCTTTCAGTGGTAAGCGACGTTCCCGCCGACAGCGATGCGGCTGTGGTAACTTCGTGAATCTCGTGATCTGCCGGCTCAGTCCTTCGGAGATGCTTATAGGGGTAGGGTTTGCATATGTGTGTTCATAGGGGTGGGTATGCGTGCGTTGTGAATGTCTGCGTTGTACCGTGAAATTCTCAAAAAAAAAACCTACCGTGTATCTTTATCTCCCTTGAAAAATTATATGACGTTTCTTATTTCACTCATTCGAAAAAAACAGAAAGCCGGAAAGCCAAAAGCAGGGGTCTAAAATATTGTCAAAATTGTACTAGGTGAAAACAACAGCTTTTGGAAAAACTAACTTCTGGTTCTCCTCGCTTAGTATGCTTTTTGGCAATAAAAGTATTTTTCAGAAGCTGAACCAAACATGACTTAAGCATAGGGGGGTTTTGCCCTCTCCTTCCACCCCCGGTCGTGACTCGTGACAATGATATACATGGAAATTCTCATCAAAATGGTCATGCACCTCGGAAAATCACATGCATATTATCTTTTCTTTGTCAGGGACAATTTGCAACAACGCCATTAGTCTCTGAAGGGAGGGATGATCACATCCAAATGTAGAAAACAAACATAACATGTGCAGAGACATCCAACGCTGGACTGGACATAAGCTAAATATAGAAATCCATTGGCAGAGCACATCTGCGGCATCTCGTGTTCTTTAAGCAGCTGCTACTTCGGGGCGGCAGAAGAAAAACCTCCGAGACCGGCAACGATTATCAGTGGCAGGATAGAAAACCCCATGATAACCTTCCCGATGACTCGCCGGCCAGCAGGGTCTCCTGACACCCAGAAGCCTACAGCCGCCTCCGCGAGCCCAAACACCACAATGGCGATCAGAGCAGCATAGTACACATAGCTGAGAGCCTTCTCACCATGGTGGAGGAACGCTGCCCCCGGCTCCCTGAAGAAGACGAGGGAGAGCGCCGCCGCGGCTTCAAGTACGCCGCACAGAATCAGTGCCCTCGGCAGCTTCTCAGGGTCCTGCAGGGCGTCGGAAATGGGGCGCGTCATCTTGCTGAGGACGTCCATGGGTGGCTGTGTGCACTGTGAAGTGCTCGGCGCTGCTGAGAATGGGAGTTTGCTTTGGGCTTGGAAATGGCGGAAGACAGTTTTGTCGTCCAGGTATTTATAAAGATAAAGAGAAGGCCAATCCGAATCAGAAACCAAACCGAAAACTATAAACCGAATGATGGCATCCCAGGCTCTGCTTTGCGGTGCATACGAGTCAATGGAGATGATCAGGACACACCTGACAACGACGTATGGACGTGCACACGACCCGAACCGAAACCGAAACCGAGCTTAGACACGCTTTTGATGTTAATGTTATCATATTATCAGACCCCACTGGTAAAGCTTGCAGGTCTGCTTCTCGTTCAAAGGTTTGGGAGTGTTTTTCGTTTTGGTTAAAATTTAATAAAAAAAATCGAGCAAAATTTGACTAAAACTTCCCAGTTTTCTAGGAAAAGTACAAAAGTGTAGACGAATTTGGAAACTATTTTTTTAAGCATGAATTTGGAAAATAGAAACAAGTGCAAATTAATTCAAACCATACTGACCGATATAAATTTTGGGATCCACGGTATAAGTCTGCTATTGGCTACTTCATGTTCTTCAGCCTGTTCGTTTAGTCGTATTTGGCTTATAAGCCATGTCTTATCAGCCAATAAACAGTATTTTTCTCTCACACCAAACCAGCCAACAGTACTTTCAGCCATGATTTATAAGCCAAACCAGCCCAAACGAACATGACGTTTCTCTAGAAAGATGGCCCCATACATGCAACCAGTCAGTCAAAAGCATTGACTTGGCCCTTGAGTGCATGTTTTGTTGCTTGCACATTTATGAAATTCTGTCGAACCGAAACCGGATGCCAGAGATTTCGGTTTCCAGCCCTGTGGTGGTGGTGGTGGATGCGCACGCATTTCTGAGAGCGACCGATCGATGTGACACTCTGCTGTTGTCATCCTTCAAAAGAGCGCGTGCTTTCACTGGGGAAGGAAACAAGTTTTCCTTTCTTCTGTTCTGCTGGGGGAAACGATCAAACAAATAACAAGAGGGAAAGGTGTGTTGCCTGCAGAATGCAGATGCGCCGTGAAGCCTTTGAGAACTGAAGAACGATGTTCCAGTATTTGAATCTGTCAGTTTTCTTTTTAGCCTGCAGATATCGGTAATATCAGATATGGAAATGCATTAGCACCATCACAGCTTTAATAATTTTGATGATATAAGCATACCTTAAAAGACAACTGATTAGCACCAATGGAGAAGCGCCAAAGCAGTGAGCTTTTTATTCTAGTAAGATTTCTGTTCTCGTCCCTCTTTTGAAGGTCAATTATAATTGTATCCTCGTTTTTTTTACTTTGTTATTCCATCCTTGTTTTTTTTAAGTCGAAGCTACCGTTCACCCCTTGTTTTTTTTTTACCGAAATCAGTGCGAAACCTCAACTTATTTTTTTATTCCAAACCTATTTAAATTCACTCCCACGGTATTTTTTTTTTTCAGACTGGTTTAAATTCGCTCCACGGGGAGTCGAACCTAGGCCTCGCTCCCACGGGGAGTCAAACTCAGGCCTGCTGGATGCTACCTAGGTGCACTAACCACTAGGCTAGCGACCCTTTGGCTTCACCCCTTGTTCTAGACCATGTTAGATGAAGGCCGAACAAATAAATTAAATAAACTAAAAAAACGAAAAATTAGAAGAAGATACTAACCCTTGACATTATCCTGACCCTCTCGGCTTCCACCAATGGTTGCTTAAGGACGTACGACTTGTTAAACTTTGCTTAGATTTAAAATATTTACAAATTTTGCAATGAAACTTATTTCATATTGCTGTTCAAATATTTGATGTCAAAATCATATAAAACTCAAATAAATTAGGGCAAATTCAAATGGGATCACTAGTATTTTTTAGCTAAACTGACACCGTTAGCTCTCTAAAAGAAAAAAAGTAAAACTTCTACCTTTGTTTCGAAAAAACAGGATAAAGTTACAAAGTTAAATAAATGAGCATAAAATCACTGTAGGTGTTTTGTAAACCAGACTAGTAAACTTATACGAATGTTGCGCTGCTCAAGGAAGACGGTGATAGCATCCAAAAGATACGAGGATTTATACTGGTTCAGGCCAGAGCCCTACGTCCAGTCTCAGAGATGATCGAGTGCGTGTTCCTCGCTTGAATGCTCTGAAGTTCTTACAATAGGAGTTGCAAGAATGGTGGAAGAGGTAGGAGAGCTTGAGCTAGAGGATGGACTGCCCGAAGAGAAGCTTCAGGAGCCCTACTATGGTGTGAGAATGAGTTCAAGATGAGTGGGAAGGATGCCCTGTCTGCCCTTATATAGAGTTCGGGGCCAGGGTATATACAAGGGGGAGCTTCTCCCGGCCGAAGGGTCGTAAACCTGAGGGAGGGTCCTAGCTAACATGGCTTGCAAGCAACGCTGTATTGAGATGCACGTCCGTGCATGGTTCTCGTCATGGTATTGTGGCCACGTCGCGGTATGGTGTGGCATGGCACTACTGTTGTAGGGTCGAGATGGCGGACTAGAAGGGGGTGAATAGTCCTTTCTAAAACTTAACCACGCCGGCTAACCAAAACAAATACGAAAATAAAACTATCGGTCTAGCCAAGACTACACCCCTCTATCTAAATTCACAAGCACCTTATAAAGATCCTAAAGAGGCAACAAAGGTGCCGGGCTAGCTAGTGCTCACATATCTAATTCTAGCTTGCAAGGTCACACAAACCTATGCAACTAGTACTTCAAGCAAACTGGGGAGCACCTACACAATCTAGTAAGCAAAAGCACAAAGCCACCTAAGCTCACTAGCAATGCTCAATAACAAGCCTACACAAGCCAAATTAGAGAGCGTAAAATACTTAGCTACACAAACTAATCAATATGACTAACAAGGTTACTCAAACCAAATTAGTCACGCAAGAGCTACTTTTATGGTACACAAGCAAAAAGGTAACTAGCAAGCTACACAAGCTAACTAATTACAAGAGCAACTACACAAGCACAATGTATATGAATGTAAATACAAGCTTATGTAAAGGGGATGCAAATCAACGGGAAGACAAGGATGACACGGTGATTTTTATCCCGAGGTTCACTTGGTTGCCACCAAGCTAGTCCCCGTTGTGTCGACCACTCACTTGGTTGTTCGGCAGCTAATTGGTATCACCCGGCAAGCCCACACGTTGGGCACCGCAAGAACCTACCCACAAGTGAGGGTAGCTCAATGACACGCTCAACTAGAGTTGCTCTTCGTGGCTCCCATAGGGCGAGCACAACACCCCTCACAATCACTTCTCCAAAGCACGACACAATCTTCTTTGCGTGCTTCGATAGGGACCACCACCAAGCCATCTAGGAGGTGGCAACCTCCAAGAGTAACAAGCACCATCGGCTAGCAACTCGAACACCTAGTGCCACTCGATGAAATCTCACAATGCAATGCACTAGAATCACACTCACTCGCTATCGATTTGCACTCTTGCAAGCACAAGTGAGTTAGAGGGCATCCAAGCACTCCTATACAAGCCACATAGGCATGAGGGTGCTCAGCTAGCACCCCAAGGCCGGCTACCACTTCTATTTATAGCCCTAAGGGCTAAAAGAGCCATTGCCCCTTCACTGGGCAAAACACGCACTAACCGGACTCACAGGTCATAACGACCGGACGCGCAGGTCACAGAGTCCGATCGCTAGGATGACGTCATGCGTCCCATCCTTTCGAAGCTGACCGTTGGGCTCCAACAGCTAGCTCCCACGCACGCATACTCCTGACCGGACGCGTCGAGGGCGAGGCTGAGTCTGATTACCAACGCATCTCTGCACAACTGACCGGACTCTGCTTTCTCCCGTGACCGGACTCAACTCTCCTGGTGTCCGGTCACTTTCAGAGAGGTCTTTTGATGACCGAACGCGTCAGGTCATCACTGACCAGACTCCCTAGCGTCCGGTTGCTTCTGCACGCGAAAGAAACACTGACCGGACTCGCAGGTACTGACCGGACACACAGGTCACAGAGTCCGGTCACAGACCTTTCAACGCTAAAATGGCTATAACTCTTAGCTCCGAACTCTGAATTCGATGATCTTGGACATTTTGGAAAGCTTACTCAGAGGGCTACACAACCCACTAGTAACTTTGATACAAAGCAAAATGGGTCAACACATAATTCCAATCCAATAGCCATAGCATAGTTCGGAGCACACTGAAAAAACTTTCTCCTCCAAGTTGATCCAATTCAACTCCAACAACTTCTCCTTAGCAAATGTGCCAACGCCACCAAGTGTACACCACCATGTGCATGCGTGTTAGCATTTTTACAATCATTTTTCAAAAGATTAGCCACTCAACTTGCCACGCCACTCGATCCTAGCAACAATGCAAAGTTAGATCACTCGAGTGGCACTAGATTACCGATATGCAAACAAGTTTACCCCTCTTAATAGTATGGCCATCTATTCTAAACCCGGTCATAAACTTCCCTATACACTATGACATGTGAAATGAAATGTCCTATAGGTTATACCTTTGCCTTGCGCATTCCATTCCATCTCCTCTAATGTCGATGCAACGCATGCACCAACACAATCAACATTGATATGATCCACTTCATATCATCATGTGATCTTATTGGTTCATCGATCTTGACCTCACTTTCTCTTCACTGTTGCATCAGTCCATCGGCACCAAGTCTTTACTCAAGCATCCCACCACACTAGCCTCTGACTTGCCCTTCACTCTTACAACCGGTCCATCAAGCCAAGCCTCATCTTGATCTTCTCCACCTTAGTCACATGACTCCATGTCATGTCTCATATGTAATGAGCTCCTTCATTACATATTCACCTGTGAACTAATCTCCTATGTATTCTCACATAACCACATATTACTCCACCTAGGTTGTCACTGAATTACCAAAACCAAACAAGGACCTTTCAACTGTGCCGGCCATGGCAGCAATGTGGACTCGGTGATAGTTCGCCAGCCGTCCTGCATGACATGGTCTCCGT